GGACAAGAAGGTGATTTTTCAGAAATAAATATTAAGAATCTGTGGCTGCCCCATTCCTGGAAGGGCTTGAGGCCAGGTTGGATGGGGCTTGGAGCAGCCTGGTCTGAAGGAAAGTGTCCCTGCCTATGGCAGGGTTTGGAATGAAATGATCTTTAAGGTCCCTTCTAACACAACTATTGTCTGTGATGGTCCTATGATGTCAGATAGTGTACAATCACCTCAATGAACAAACCCCTCAATGTGCCAGGTCTGTGTGTGGCCAGCTCCTCTGCAGGGTGTCACCTTACAGAATGATTCTGGGCTCCATCCTGGCCCTTGTCCTTCTCTGCTGGTTCACAGCCTCTGGCTCAGCACAGCCGTGCCCTGGGCACAGGACTGGGCAGTGCTGCAGCATCCCCAAATCCCAGAGTCCCTGCACCAGGGCAGCACTGAGCACACATCACTCTGAAACCTGGGATTTCGCTCAAAGCTCACTAAATGTGTCCCCAGGGGAAACTAAAGAAGCGAATTAACAGCAGCATCTTTTATTTTCATAATGCACTAAAAAGCACCAGATGCATATAATCTTTATTTTTGGCTCTCTAAACTTAGGCTTTCATATTAAATGGCAACTGGCACTTGGAAAACCCATACTTAATGCTCTACAGAGGGAAAAAAGTGTGGGCCAGATGCACTGAGTTTATTTTCTTTAGACCAGCTTGCACAGCTTTGGTGATACCAATTAATATAGATTTCTAGAACTACACAGAAAACCAAACACCACTGATCTTGCTGTTCAGCTATGTTTGAACAGCAGTGCTCATCACCAATGTAGAGCCAGGATGGGATTCCTGGGTGGGAGCTGTGGCTGCAGAAGGGACATTTGCTGGGACACTGCAAGCCAGTAGAAGCTGGCTTGATTTGTGGCTGACGGGGTATTCAGGTTTTCATTTTCCTCAAAACACCCCTTGAAAATAAAGTCATAGAAGAAGAGAACCACAGAATGTTTTGGGTTCAAATGGACCTGAAAGACCACCTAGTTCTAAGCTCCCTGCCATGGACAAGCAAATCATGATTGTTGATTGGAAAGGGCAAAACTGTTGCTGGTCTCCCCCATTCTGCCTATGTGGATTTGGCATCACTCTCTGAAGCACAGAATCATATAATATAGTAGGCACTAAACACTGTGGCATTGCTGTTCCTGGTGAGGTCCTTGGTAAAGGGCTTTGTGTCTCATTCCCTCAAACTGGTGAGGAAATGGTGCTGTGAACAGAGAAAAAAAATTGCAGTGGGTGTTGCCTTCTCACACAGTCGTTGTTCTGGCTGAACAATTTTAACTGTTGGTATGAAATCTTCATTTGAGTAAACTCTCAGCTAAATGTCAAGCTGCAGCCATTCTCTCTGTAACTGTGCCTTTGAAAGCATCGTTATTAATATTACTGGTATTATTTTATATGATTTTTGTCATGTGAACAGCTCATTTCTCCTTGAACAGTTCATTTCTCTAACTCCAGAAGGAAAACATCTTCATTTAACTTTAAAAAAATTCCTTCTTGCTAAACATGTAGAAACAAAGAATAATTTGAGGCACACATAGGGCAAACGTGTGCCTGAACACCAAATCACAATGTGATAGCAGATACGGATCAATGGTTTCATCCACACTTATGTTCCTTGGGATAAAACTGCTCCTAACAGGGCTGCAGAGGGTGCACACAACTTGGAAAATGCTTCCCATTGCTTAAGCTCTGGAAAGTAAGGGATAAGAAGAATATCTGCTGGGCAGGAAAACCAGCTGAAAAAGCCAAGTTATCAGTAATGGAAGAGTTCTACAGGCAAACTGCAAATGATGCTGCCCACATGCCACACACTGAGACAACTATTCCCAATTTGTGAGGAGCTGCATTTTCTATATTCCATTGGCAGGGCTTCATTTATCACCCCTACTAATTAAGACAGGGGTCGAGCTCTGTGTCTGGATGTTCCCAGGGCAGGGTGGCCGTGCCAGGCGTGTCCTGGGGGACAGCTGGGGACAGAGTGGACGTGGGTATGGCAGGGTTGGAGCTGTCCCTCTGCCTCCCCAGGCAGCTGCTGCCACAGAAGGCTCCAATTCTGCCTGCTCCTTCCCAGGCAGCAAAACCTCACCCGTGACGCTGCCCCGGGGGTGGGACGGCTGGAATTGGGCTGGGAATTGGGCTGGGAATGGGGCTGGACGGGGAGGTGCTGGACAGAAGGGTGGCTGGACTGGGAACACATCCCAGGAACTCAGCAGCATCACTTCCACATCCCTGGGGGGCACAGAACAGCCCAGGTAAGTGCGGCTGCCTGGGAGCAAACCCAAATCCCACTGCAGACAGCTCACAGCTTTGGCTCACTTTGTTTGCTGGCTTCACGGGGAGGGTTTAAAGGGCTTCATGGTGAGTTTAACGCAGGTTCCAAATCAGGGGCGGATCAAGTGACTGCAGCATGGTGTCCGCTTTCAAAACTCCGCAAACTTTTTAGGGAGCCACGGTTTGATAATCACTGAAGGGAACATGCCCCGAGTGAACATTGTTACCTTACAAGTTTTTGTCAGCCTAGTTCAGAAAACGATCCTTTCCTTCCTTCCCTTTTAATCATTTTTAAAGTTAACAATTCAAACAGCAAAAAAACACAGAGTGAAATAAACGGGGCAAATTCCAACAGACAGAAGGGTAATGAAGGAAACGAGACAAATTCCTTGAACTGCACCCAACATGAAAATGAATCTCGGCTGCTCATTAGAGACTGCTGAGCAGGGGAAGTTGGCAAATTAAATAATGGGAAGTAGAGGGAGACACAGAAAAAAGGGTTGATTATCTAAATTTCCTCTTATAAACTGCAAAATATTTTTTCAAGATTGAAGGTAGTAAAAATGTATTAGTGGCAAAAAGCAAAGCCTCCTTATGCACTTAAAGTAAAAAGCAAGGAGTCAGGCATAGCAAAGGATTGGGTAGACACAGAATACACCACTGTGCTTTCAGAGTGGGTTAGCAGTGAGTAATTCTCATCCAAGGTACATCCAGGAGTTTCCTTCCTTACTGTCTCTGCAAAAATTCCTACTTATATTCCCCAGGTTAATTCATATGTTGTTGGGTATTTGAGTGCTGCTCATCTGGTCAAGGAGGGGCTGATAAAGCTCTCCCATCTACTTGTTACTAGTGTTGTACCAGCTTGTTTTTCATTAGTGCTCTTTAAAATGCTTAGTTTTCCTATTTTTTCACTTGAAAGGATCCTTGCTGTGGAGAAGGTGGGGAGTGGGGAGTGTACCAAAGCCAATCTGCTTTGGAGCCAGTATGGGTGGAAAATCAACCTTGGGACCTGCTCCAGAGGCCACCACTGGTCTTTGGGGCTGCCCCAAGGAGAGCAATTAGGCATTGCTAATTGATTATGAATCCTCAGCCATTGCCAATGGCTCTGGTAGCTGCACACGCTGGAGGAGGGGAATTGTTACCAAGATGTCCCTTCCTGCAGGAACCTTTGGGATGTGAGGATATTTGGCCCATGGGCTGCAAAAACAAAACATGTCATGACATGGATGTTACCTTTGTCACAGGCAGGGAAGGAAAATGGGCAAAGCCGAGCAGCTGATGTTGTCATTGGAAAGGGGGCAGGAGAGGGAGCTGGGCAGCTGCTCAGCATGACAGCTGTCCCTACAAATAGTTCCTAGATATTGTCCCTAGAAATAGTTCTCCATGCAGCAGAAAGAGAATAAAATGATGGTTAGGCAATGTAGGTGTATCAGGAAGAAATTGTTCCAAGCCCATCTTTCTGCTTTGCACCATTGGGTATGACATTCTGATAAACAAGTGAGGAAGATGTGGCCTTGATGAGACAGGTATTGGGTGGGTGGAACACTGGATGCACAATTAGAAAATTTGTCAGAAGTTCACTGCCAGAAAGGGAGGTAATGGCAAATAGGGACCTGAGCCTGTTGCTTTTGTTTCTGTTTATGGTTTAAAGAGGGGCAAGCCTGTGTTATTTGATGTGCAGCTGGGAGGGACTTGAGCACAACAGGGGCCAGATTTATAATTCAAAGGGACAAGAGAAGCAGTTTGCAAAAAGGCCATGATTTGAATTCCAGTGGTCTTGCTGGTGGGTGAAGGCAGTGGATGCAGGGTCTCAGTGGAGCCAGGGAAGCCATCCTGGCTGTGCTGGGAGCCAGGAAAACCAGCAGCTAGGAGGGATTCGTGCTGCACTTCAGCATCGTTTGGGGTTTGGCTGGACACAGTCCAAAGGGAACTGTAAAAATAACAAGAGGTGGCTGGGATGTAACCTCTGCAGGAAAGCCAGAGAGGATGGTAAGAGACACTGAGGAAATGCGGAACGTCCTTAAACATGGGGCCCCTGAGGAGGGAGAGATTCGCCTCTCTCCTTGCCAATTAGGACAAGATGTGATGAACTTAAACTGCAGTTTAAGAGAGGACAAAGACATCTTTGTGCACTTTTTAAGGTACAGCCTGACACTTCCCTGGTAACACGTTTTGCCTTCCCCACTCCTGATTCTCTGTAAGCCTGGCTTAGTGTAACATCTATTCCAGTAACTCACGTGGCTTTGGTGAATTAGCTACTTAACCCATGGGAATTGTACCATCATCTTCAGAAGAACTAGAAAAATAAAGTGCATTTATAAGGTTCTTATTGTTTTCACTCCACCATCAGCATTCCCTTTAAGAACATCAAAAGATTAAAAAAACAGATAGAGACATCTGCCAGCGTCTCTGGAGAGGAGTGTTGCACTTTCTTCTAATCCAGACCCAGCCTTTGGAGCCTCTCCCTGCCTTCACAAAACAGAGGAATTTTTTGTATTTAAGAACCATCTAAAGACTCTTTTACTGTGTTTAAACAGAGTCCTGTGTCAGCACAGTTAAAAAATGCTGGCACTTGCTCTGCACAGATTAAAGATGATAAATTACCCTTTGCTACTTGGATCCATTTACAGCTTCTATCGCACGATTGTGTAACACTCGGAGGCAGTGGCAGGGCCGGGGAACAAAGTCCGGGTGCAGGCTGGGCTTTCCCCTCCTGAAACTTTTTATTGTTTCTCTGTTCCTGAGAGAAGAGCTGCAGGGAACAGCCTGTCCTCTCCTGCCGCCCAGCATGGCATCACCCATGAAGAATTTGCTTTCGGAGCTGGAAAGATACACTCAGTCATTCCGCGTATTCCTGGAGAGGTCGACCGAGCACCGGAGCATGCAGGAGTTCGTGGAGAAGCAGCTGCCAGACATCATAGCCAGGTAACACCAAGGTGACCATGCTGGGCTGCAGGACAGCCAGGCCAGGTCCCACGGTGCTGCTGGGCTCAGGGAGCTGCTGTCACAGGCAGGTTGGTGTTTCTGCCCCGTCTGACACGGCTTGGCTGGAGTTTCCATTTGCACACAGGGATGGATAGTGGGGCTGCCTATCGAGGAGGAGATAAGGCTGCATTGTTTCCTTGCACACAAATACATCTGGCCCTGAATCAGCTCTGAAATGCAGCAACAGACACTACCTTCTAGCATCAAACTTGATGGAAAGCAGCTTTTTAAAAGTAAGCTTTTCAGGTAATAATTAGGGTTTCTCTAGGATGGCTGGATCGTGCTCTTGCTTAGCCTGCCAGTGTGTATCCTTTGCTGGACCCCTCACTCTGCAGGCTGGCTTGGCAGCAGGCAGCCAGCACCAAATCCTGGCTTTGGAGAGGGTCTTCTTAGGGCTCAGGGTTTCATGGCTCTGCCAAAGCCTCACTCAGGGATTTTTGGAGCATTACACTCTCCCCTCTCCCTTATCCCTCCCCATTTTGCATAATGCAAAACTTCCACAAATAATTTTTAAGCTGCTGGTCCAGACTCAGAGGGCTTTCTGTTCCTCTGAGCACAGACACAGAGAAGCATGTACTTGCTCTGCTTGTATTCCCTCGTAATAAAAGCAAAATGCCACCTCTACAGATTTCCAACATAATTGGAAATCATGACTATCCAAAGAGAAGAGTTCTGAATCTGATCCCTTCTGCCCACTTGCAGGGCGTGCCTGTGTACACATACATTACATTTGGGTTTTATCCCACAAATTTTAGTCTTAATGGGATCTCCAGTGTCTCACATCATGCATGGAACCCTCTCTACTGGACAGCTCTCCTAAAATGTATGAATAATGTTTTTCAGTATTGGAAATGGGAAGTCTACAATCAATGTTCTAAGTGTTGGTAGTGGAGCAGGTATGTACGGACTTCAATACTGATATGTTTTTTTCCCCCTTTATTTTTTTTTTAATAATAAAGGACTAAAAATTGCAAAAGGAGCAGAATGGGAAATAAGTCTTTCCTTGATAAGTCAGCTCCATGGGACAGGTGGTGTTAGTTGGTGTGTGACCACGTCATCTGAAAACAGCTTGTTCCTCCCCACTCGGATTCCTCTATGTCCTCCACAAAAAACTCTCCATCTACACCATCACTCCTCAAAGGCAGAGAGAAGCTTGAACTGCTCCATAGAGTTTTTTCCCAAAAAAAAAAAAAAAAAAAAAC